ATGCGAAAATTGGTTCCTTAGACTAGTCATATGATTGATAATAAGCTCTTTACTTGATTCTATTCCATCAGTAACACAAGTCATTTTAGATTAAAAATGATTTTTCTATATATCAAAGCGTATATCTCCAGCACAACTAATGAACTAATTCGATTTATAGATAACAGAATAAAAAGATTGCTTTTGTTTATTTATTTTATTTTACTTAGTATCGAGTAAGCTTCAATTTCGTTTTTTTCAAGCACTGAAAATAAATTACTGCTTGTTGTATTTTTCTATGCCGTCACATACGCAAAAATAATGAAGTTTTTGATGATCCAACAAAATGTTTTGAATTAACACTCCTTAAGTCAGCGGTTTCCAACCTTTACTTCCTTGCGCCCCCCTTTCGAATGACAAAAATATTGCGCCCCCCCTTCTTATTTTTCTAACAATTTAATTTAAATATACTTAACATGACTGAAATTATGCCATATAATACACAGTATTATGAAAAATATACATACAAACATAACTATTTATTATAAGAATTTTCTGTTTCACATGAGTAAGATCTCACAAATGGTAATAAAATTTCTAAAGCATTATTTGTCAAAGTAGCAAAATCGTCCTTTACTGGTAACCAAAACTTAACAAGATATTTTCGTCCTGAAACATCTGCTTCAATGTGCTATTATTAGATAAATCAATTATCATTTTCTGCTCTGCTTTTGAATGACCAAAATCATCATGTTTCTCAAGGACAAATGGATTTCTAATCCATTCGTATTTGGACGTAATTAGATAAAGTAATGCGAAAATTGGTTTCGTAGACTAGTCATATGACTGATATAATAATAAGATCTTTATTTACTTCTATTTCATCAGCAATACAAGTAATTTCAAAAGCGAGAAACATGCTAAAGTTATGAAGTTATTTGATACTAGCTATACACAGTTCTAATTTTTTCATAAAAGCCGTAATCTTGTCTTTCTGAACAAAAGCACGAATTTGAGATCCTTGAAAAATATCAACTAAATACGCAAATTTTGCGAGGAACTTTGTGTTCTAAAACAAGATTGCTCCGTCTCTTTTGTTATGAGCAAGAAATATAGCAATTTCTTTTTTGAACTCAAACACTCTTAGAAGTACTTTAAGTATTTTGTTGATTTGTTTTTGACACTTACTCAGTATTTAAAAATAATATTTTTGAAACAGCTTCGCGCCCCCCCCTGGAACGGTATGGCGCCCCACCAGGGGGGCGCGCCCCACAGGTTGGAAATCACTGCCTTAAGTGGTTGTGATTCGACCAGCAGAATGGGTTCAATGAAACAAAGTTCAAAAGCTGCATCGCTGGATTTCGTACAAAAAAGTCTACCGCACTTAGCTTGACATAAATTAATTACCCAAAATATCGGCTTCGGTTTGAATATATTAAAAGTAATTTGTACATTAGATGCTTTACATTTTGACACATTAAGAGCTTGAGCGCAAACAGATATTTGGATAAATGCTGACTAAACGCTACAAAATTTGCATTGATTAAACCTTATTTGGCTACGAGAGAAAAAATGGTAAATTGTACCCACGGCAAATGACGAAACTGCCACTGCCGGAATTGTTGATCGTGCCTTGTAAATGTTCCTCTAATTGTCAAAAAACAAAGGCTTGTTCTTGTACAAAATTAAAATGAAATTATATTTACTTACGACGAAACTGCCACTGCCGGAATTGTTGATCCTGCCTTGTAAATGTTCCTTTGATTGTCAAAAAACAAAGGCTTGTTCTTGTACAAAATTAAAATGAAATTGTATTTACTTTGCAAATGTATCAGTAATTATTGTCAAAATAAAAAAGATTGATTTCTGTTATTTGCGCCTGAAAGCTTGTGTTAAAATTTGATTTGGGGCATGAAATATTTTTTATCAACTACTATTACAATTTTATTTTATTTTTAGTCGCCTAGCTATAAATATCTCTAATGTTAAGAGGTATTACCCCTTAGATTAGAGACATTATCATCGTAAGACTTGATTTTTAAAGAAGTGGGTATAAAAAAATCTCGGCCAGCAGAACTTCTGGCAACATTCAGAATGATAATCAGCGATTTTTATGAATTCAAAACAATCAACCTCATATTATGCATACTCTATCAATGCCTTATACAGCACCCGCTCTATAGGGAACTAGGTACCATACAAATCTATAGCAAAGCTGTAACATTTTCCACTTTTTCATTTTTTTTCAATCTTAGTTAATTCGCTGGGAATGCCACACAACATTTTAATTTAAAAATGAATTGTCGGATTTTGCTTCGTAAATCTAAAATTAATGAAGAAATGCAAAACAGCGGTAATAATATATCAAAATGTTGAAACTTTAAATATGCTATTCCAATTTAAATATAATCAGTCTCAGATTTCAAGCACTTGCAAAGATTGTTAATATAACAGGAAACATTTATATTTTTTGTTAGCTGCTCTTTTCATTTATATATACCACATTTGCAATTGGTTTGTTGTTTTTATACTAAACATTTTATACTAGACTAGATGACCCGACAGACGCTGTCCTGTGTCCATGTCTACAATTTTTTAATAAAATGTACTAATATTTACCGTTTACCTAAAAATAATAATTATTGTTTTTTAAATTACTCTTTACGCCAAAATGCATATACATTTATAATATGAGCGATGATAATTGTAGAACTGCTTTAAATAAAATGATAAGTCTCAATTCCCACACTATATTGGAAATTAAAGTCTTTTAAACGGTATAACATAACCATAACCACAATATATAACACTGGTACTTTATGTTGGATTAAATTAATTGAATTTTTTAGTATTTAAGATCCAAAATTGCATCTTAAACTTCTCCTAATCGATATCTAGAGGGCCTAATTGTATGTATTCATCTCCACTTTTCCATTTATTGTTGAAAAGTGAAATTTTTACGAATTTTAAAAATATTGTGGGAAGATTAGTAAAAGATGCAAAGAAATTATATATTGAAAAAAAACTATATTGAAAATTTAATATCCGAATCTTGTGTTAGCGCCCCCTAAGCCGTGCGCTCGTATTTTTCGCATGCATTGCATTAAAGGTAGGACCGGCCCTGATTAATAATTAATTTAATATTTTAAGTAGGTTAATTTGTCATATCCTGTTCATATTATACTGTATTTTATATTATTTTAATTTTTCGCACATCTCAGCTGCTTTTTGGCAATAATAATGTAGACATTTAATTTTTCTTGTTTATATCATAAATTTATTATACATATTCTAATATTGTCTAGGTTTATAACTAAATTGAAATTTTTGGCTGATGATAGTTTCATTTCATTTGTTTTTAATGCGAACAATCACATGTCGTTTTTTACAATTTTTTTCATTTATTTCTACAATGTTGCACATACATCCTAGAAAATTTCCTTAACAAACTTCAGAGAGATTTATCAAAATCCGCATAATCGTTTAAAAGGAGTATACAGTGAGTGCTTGTAATTTAATATGAACTTTATATAATAGCAATAAAGCTCAAATAAATTCTACATTTTAGTTAGAAAACGTTTGTATGAGAAAAAAAGGGCTGTTTTTAGGATTCTTCCGAAAATTATTCGATTTTTTCTCGCCATAAGAATCATCCATGGACATCAACAAACATTTTAAAAAAAGAATTGGCGAAATTGGTCCAGACGTTGTTGAGTTATGCGCTTACCAACACATTTTGTGATTCATTTTTATATATAAGATATAATTTTCATGGCAAACTACGTTTGAATTATTTATTTTAACTATATAAGTGATTTTCAGAATTTTGCTTAGAATTAAAATCAAAACCCGAATAATTTTCTATATTAATTTTTTTTTTGATATTTTGAAATCAAATTTTTTTACCTTGCTGAATTATTCAAATCAGATGCTTCATTCTCGCCAAATCTGTTATTTTTTTACGTTTAGCTCTGTATTTCCGAAACGGCTTGACCTCTCCTAGCCAAAAACTAACCAGTATCCCCATTATTACAAACTGAGTGTTTTGAATGATTCAATTTGGATACTCTGTTCTCTCAAAAACTTAATTTTGATTTTCTGCATCATTTACTCCCCAAAATGGCTGCAGCTGTTTTTGCCAAAAAATAATCAGCACGACTTCCCATTTTTTCAAGAGGATGGAAGTAAAATTGGCTTTGATACATACATACAATACGTGCCAAAAAATCTATATTTAAAAGCTATAACATTTGCGCGCTTCGTGCGAAGGAACTTTATGCAGGGTACTATTAGCATTACGCAGGTGTACTGGCTCAGGATTTTCCCATTTTCCGATGTGTTCCACAAAATTGCTTTGAACAATATTTGCAGTACTATAAGAAAAAACAATAGGTTTTCGAATAACGCTAATTAGAAAGTAGTCCAATCAGACGCACTACCTGAAATCATCAGTTGAAAAGTTATTTTTATTTATAGTTTTGGCATTTTTTATTCTACATAATGTGGTCTAAGCCAATGTGAGTAGAATCAGGAAAATATGTTTTCGATACTTTTATGGTTATGTCAAAAAGTGAATTTGAAAAATGGGCCACTTTGGCATATTTTCAATATCTTGGATTTAAGATGATCAAAGTTGAAAATTGGTATATCGGATTATTTTTAAAAATACCTTTAAAATGGCATATAAATTATTGAAATACCAGAGTGGGGCCGATTCTGTATGGCAATGCGCCCATACCCCTTCACATCAAACTGCCTGATGTCGGGCTTGGCTGAGGCTTGAATCGAATCATCTAACCCAGGCCAGTTGGTGCTAGCCCTCGTTCTTTTCTTTCACATTACGCTACCTAAATTATTTCACAATGAAAATGTGTACGAATTATGTAATTATGTAAATATTATTATAATATATAAATATTTGTATGAAAAGTTTTGCGTACGAACGCATCTTTTGCTTGATTGCATTTTCAACGTACTATGTTCTACAACATTATAACATTCTAATTAATATTATATTATAGCTCAAATTCAAATAAACATGATGAATGATATATCGGAAAATCAGAAGCGCTTGGACGATCAAACACAAAGAGCTTTGAAAACTATTCAGATACGGAACATGGAGTTGATGGAACAACAAAGATTTCTTGCTCAGGGCCAAGCCGAGATCAGATCCGCCGTTGATGGTAACATAAGAACCCTGTTGAATGAAAAAGCTTTAATGAAAATAGGACGAGCGAAAATTACTGTAATAATGGAAAAATTATTGAAACAAATTGGTATGAATTTATATCATGTTTTATTTATTATATGTATATATGTATGTATATGAATATATATATTTGACCAACTATCATATATATATATATATATATATATATATATGATGTCGAAAATAAAAAAAATGTAAAAAGTTTTTAACGTTTCGACACAATTTGCGTGTCATCATTCAGCAACACCAGGACAAAAACACAAAAAAAAAATTAGAAAATTAACATTGTATCATGACTCTTTATATATATAAGAGTAACTAGCTAAATTGTCATGATACAATGTTAATTTTCTAATTTTTTTTGTGTTTTTGTCCTGGTGTTGCTGAATGACGACACGCAAATTGTGTCGAAACGTTAAAAACTTTTTACATTTTTTTTATTTTGACGAATGGGCTGCTAGTTACTCTTAAATATGTTTCAACGTCGAAAAAACTATCAATATATATATATATATATATATATATATATATATATATATATTTGAATAGTTTTGAATTTGATGTTGATATATATGTTTAATTTGAGTTTAAAATTCGGGCGTAACATCAATAAAAATAGTATGAGAGTTTTTTAAAAGTTTATTTATTTAAAATCCATACGTTTCGGCTAGCATCTTAGCCATCATTTCATAGAAATTTCATAGAAAAACAATAATAATAATAATAATAAAACACTTACAATTTTGTATCCTAATATAGCATATGAAACCATTATTAATCCATGGTATAAGTATGTGCACATTGATAAAATATATATTTTTTAACATCACAAATGGTAAAACACACTAATAACCATGATAACTTAACAAGTTGTCAAAACTATGTATTTACTCTTCGGGGTTTAAGATAGAAATGTCACATTTTTCTTTAAAGCAGTTTTTAGCATGTGTTCAAATTTTACGAGAAATTTAAAAAGCCATGAGATTTTGTTATTTTATAAGAAATTTTGACACGCTATTAAGAATCCACGTGTTTGTTTCGTTCAGGGTCGTATTGTCGGAGCGTTTGTTTATGACCCTGTCGTTATGCAATTGCAAAAACAACCCCTCAGCAAATCTTGTTTTAATTAGGTTCTCTTCAAAATGTAAAATTTTAGGGTTAAAAAAATCTATATTATGGTTTAAATTTTTAATATGCTCAGTTAACATCGTCTTAAATTGGTTCGGATTTTTTGAGTTGTTTTTATATTGATGAAGGCGTTTACTCAGGTTTTGACTAGTTTCTCCAATATAAAAGAGTTCGCAATTAGAGCAATTAATCTGATATACCAAGTTCCTGAGGCGGTCAAAATTAAACTTAGACTTAATTTGTGTAAAAATTGAACTAAGGGTTGTATCACAATTACATACCAACAAAATGCCACACTGTTGAAATAGTTTTTTCTACAAGAAATATAAATCTTTTACGCACGGTAGGCAAATGACACCAGTGTATGACTTCAAGTCTAAGCGGTTTTTATGGTCTATGAGGTCGTTTTGTTTGTTGAGAATGTAACTGCGTCTGTTATTTATTACTGAGTTAATTATGTTTGTAGGATATGAGTTGTTTTTTAGTGTGCTTATTGCCAGGTCAATGTTGGTGTCCCAGAAATTTTTATCAGATAGTAGTATGGCATGGTCTGTTAAATTTATTATTGTTACTATTTTCATTTTAAGAGGGTGGTATGAGTGGTAATTTATGTAACGTCCGGAGCTAGTTGGTTTCTGGTACCAGTTAATAATTAGTCGGTGGTCATTTGTGCGTATTAGTCTGATGTCTAGAAAGCTAATCGAATTCATTGTTAAACATTTCTATTCGCTAAGGCAATATTAAAATATAATATATTTATGATTATGAACAAGAAAAATGTAATGTCTACATTATTATTGCCAAAAAGCAGCTGAGATAAAAAAACATTCAATTTTTGATGATTGGAAGAATAGGTGGTTAGTTTTTGGCAAAGACACGTCCAGCCATTTCGAAGATACAGAGCTAAATGTGCAAAAAATGGCAGTTTTTGAGAGAACCAAGCGTCCGATTTGAATGGTTCAAAGAACTTTCTGCTTGCTTTAACAAAATAATTGCTTTTGGAAAAAAAAAATTATTTTTTCTGTATATCGAAAATAATTCAGATTTTAATTTTAATTATGACTAAAGTTCCAATATACTTTAAACAAATAATTTCAACTTCGCAATTCAGTTTCTTTGCAATTCTTATAAATATTCGACAATGTTACAGTATTTATAATAATCTATTTGAAAGCATTTATTATTTCTCGAACATTTCGTTACGGTATGGGAAGTTCCAGCAATTTGCCTTAAGGCACGATGCCACACCACTAGTTTTTTTTTTCAATTTCAAAATAATTTTTTCAAACCATTTTCAATAAAGGGGTTGTTTTCAAGGGTCTAAAAAGGGTTAAAAATTTGATAATCAAGATAGAAAACGTAAAATATCATTTACTTTATACGTAATTCATTTTATATCATACCGTGTTTTTTATAAGTGTTTTTTTTTTCAATTTAGATGTTGTTTGAAAGGTTTTAGGGTGTTCACGGGGTTGAAAATGATTTTATTGCAAGGTAAATGTATTAAAAAATACTTTTTAATTATATCCTTTAATATTAAAAACGTTTTCTGCGATAAAATGGTTCAATGCCCGCATATTCATTATCGGGTCGCAAAGTCCTCGGGGGGTGGCGGCCGAGTGCAAATTGTTTTCACTTTTGAACTTGAGGGTAAGATATACCTAATTCCAAAATTTCATGCAAATCGGAGCACATTGAAAAAATTCAGAGGTTTACACCAGTGATTCCCAAAGTGGGCGCTGCGGCGATTCTGGGGGGCGCTGATGTGCTTTGGTATATTTAGGGGGCGATGCTTAGTTCTAGGCGTTTAAAGCACAAAACTAAAAAATATTATAATATTAATATTACATATGAATAAATGATTAAAATTAACACTGGATTATATAAAGATAATATTTTAGTTAAAGTTATTCAAACATATCTGCATAGGTGTATTAGTAAATACATCCGTTTTAAAACTGTGCACCGCCAATTCTTGTTTCGCAAAAGGTTTAATGAAAAGAATGGTTTATACGTTTCTTTGTGTGTCGATAATTTGTGTAACTTTTCAAAAGCGTGTTACTTTACCAAATTTTGTGAGAGATTCTTTAAGAGATTTTTTGTAAGAGATTCTCTAAGATTGGCGGATATATGATCACTATTTCTCGTGCTATTAATTCTATTTCTTTGATATCTACCCGTAACTCGAATGCCGCGTTTTGTAAAATAGATTTATCGGGGCCTAGAATAATTCTTTCGTTACCTAAAATTTCAAAAAACGTATCAATACCTATTAACATATCGTATCTACATTATGAATACGTATTCAAAAAACGTATCAATGCCTATTAACATATCGTATCTACATTATGAATACGTATCTACATTAACATATGTATCTACTTTGCGCGGAATATTTAAGTGTGAATCCAAAAGTTTTAATCCATAAGGAAGATTTAGTTCAGAAAGGGTATGGGCGCATTGCCATACAGAATCGGCCCCACCCTGGTATTTAAATAATTTATACGCCATTTTATAGGTCTAAATGATAAAAACAGATATACCAATTTTCAACTTTGTAGCTCATCTTATGGCCGAGATATCAAAGTGGCCCCTTCTTTTAAACTCACTTTTTGGCGTAACCATAAAAGATATCGAAAAAATGTTTACGTGATTCTACTCACATTGACTCAGGCCACATTATGTAGAACAATCGATTCCAAAAAATCGTTTACTATTAGCTGAAAACGACAAAATAATTTTTCAATTGATTATTTCGGGTAGTGCATTTATTTGGACCACTTTCTAATTAACGTTATTCGAAAGCCCATTGTTTTTTCTTTGAATACTGCAAATATTGTTCAAATCAATTTAGTGGAACACATTGGAAAATTGAAAAAACCGGAGCCAGTACACCCGCGCGTAACGCAAATAGTACCCTGCAATTGCATAGAATTCGTTCGGACGCAAAGCAGTGCGCGATGCACCGAAACGATTCTTAAGAAATTCTGAATGCGAAAATATTTATTTTATAGTTATATGATATGTATACATATAAATTAATGATATAATGAAACATTGTAGTTTCAACAAACCCAAAAAACTTTTTTTTGAATGATAGTTGTAACATTGTGACAATAAAGCCCTTATTGTGACCATTCTTTATCAGTACTACAATTTCACAGTCATTTGATGTAAATATATACTTCTAATAAAATATAGCTGAATGTACTTTGTATAGTTTGCTATGAAAAATAAATAAAAAAAAATTGATGTAGAAGCTTTTTATATAGTACTTCAGTAATTTACAAAAATTATTAATGAAAGTACGAGGTCTGTTCAAAAAGTACCCGGAATTTTCGTTTTTTCAAAAAAATATTTATTTATTCGTCTACATTAATGTGGTCCCCTTCAAAGTAGTCCCCCCCAGATATAATACACTTATGCCAGCGTTTTTTCCAATTTTCGAAGCACCCTTGATATTCACTTTTTGATATGTCCTTGAGCACTCTCAGCGATTTTCTTCAATCGAGGAAAACCGCCGTCCTTTCATGGGTCTCTTCAACTTTGGGAATAGGAAAAAGTCACACGGAGCCATATCTGGTGAATTTTTGCACTTTGCAACACTTTATTTCATTTTTTACGCAAAATTTAATACAAATTCTTTGACTTTTCAATTCTTCCATTGTAAAAATCGCCGAGCTCAGAAAAACACGTCGAACCTTAGCGACTACCACAGACAAAGTAAACAGTGAATATAGCTGAAAATTTCATCATACTTTAGGGGCATGTATACCAACACAATAAAAAAAAAAATTTTGACAATCAGACACTCCAGACCCGCGAAATTTAATTATTAGTAATTCCGGGTACTTTTTGAACACACCTCGTATTCTAATAATCATTATTTTTATAACATAAAATATATTATATAGTTTTTATTAAATAGTTTTTTCAATT